TTCCTTCCTTCCTTCCTTCCTTCCTTCCTTCCTTCCTTCCTTCCTTCTTTCTTTTCTTTTCTTCTTTTCTTTTCTTTTTTTCTTTTCTTTCAGTCTAGGTTCCATGGAATACAATGGGGAGCCAATCAGATGCAGCCTCTGCCCTCCTGTCGCTTCAACGTGGAGGTTGACCTTGTATCTGGTGTCAAATGGAGGCTCAGTTAAAAGTCCACTTCTCCACTCAATGCCTAGCCCTGCAAAGTCAATTTCATGGAAACGATGCTCCAGTACTTCATAAAGCAAACCTCGATTGAACATCTGTCCCTACGATCATGAAAAGACAAAGTGTGTGCACCCAAGTAGAAGCCACTGTATGCACATCCACCAGCCACCTCTCTGTTCAGCCTCCTCTCTCTCCCCAAAACCTCCACCTGCTCCCCAAAACCGGGCCCCAATCATGCTGAGCCAAATGCATTTTTTGGAATGAACCATACCCTCTCTCTCACTCACAAGGCTTTACTCCTGCCATTCCTTCGTTCCACAACACTTTTCCCTCTTATCCACCTGGCTAGCTCCTTTTCATCATTCCAGACTCAGCCTAGATCTCTTCCTGTTTGGTTAGACTCCTCTGACCCCTCTTTTCCCCACTGGCTCCATACTTCTGGTGTGCTAGCAGTGACTAAAAGCTAAGCCTTGTGGTTTCATTGTCTTCCTTCTGTGATGGGTGGCAAATAGTCTGAGGGAAGGGCTGTTAGACCTGCTCACCCAACCTTGATTGGGTGAGCAGGTCTAACGGCCCTAGGGTTGCTATATCTTAGCTATTATGGGAGTAGCTCTTGTTAATTGAGGACTTCTACATGCCTGATACAGGGTGCTTAGTGGGTTGTATTTAATTTTATCTTTTTTTTTTTTTTTTTTTAAGGCCGGAGAGCGCCCGCGGGTCTTGAACCACGCAGAGTGGTTGTTCTCCACCAAGGAAAGCATTGTTGAAGTAACCACTGAGCTAAAGCTGGCCCTTAATTTTATCTTTATAACAATATGTGAGCTCAGCCTTTCTGCTGCTCCTTGATAGGAGAGACAGCTGAGGTTCAAAGAAGTGGCATCCTCTGACCCAGGTCCCTCAGCCAGGAAGCCAGGAAGTGGAGAACCCAGCCCCGGGGCCAGACTCCAGCAGTTCCAGGACCCCTGTTCTTTCCCACTGAGCTTAGCTGCCGCGTGTTTCCTACTCAGGATTTCTAGGCATCAGGAACTCCCTGTCTCTGGAGACTGCATGTCAGGCCTTCCCTCCACTTACAAAGGCCTCACATTTTTCATCCTCTTACATTTCTGGGATGATGAGGTCCTGATTGGCTCTCTGACTTCTAAGCCGGAGCAGAGACTATCCAATGGGGACTCATCTCCATGGTTACTGCACAGGGAGAGTCTAAAGAAAGGCAGCAGGGGGAAAAGTGGAGGCTCCTGCAAGTACAGGGGGAGGAGGGAGTCATCAACAATTAAACATGACAAAATCCTCTGCTGAACAAAAATAGAATTATTTGACTGTGAAATCAAGTAATGTAGCATTGAAAATAACATAACCTGAAACATCATTTTTTTTCTCCATCGATAAAAAAAAATACCAGATAAAACCATGCACATTTGAAGTGCCGATTTGCTGGAGGCCCCGAGTGATAGAAAGTTGCCTTGGTTAAAGATTTGAATTTTGGGGGTATTTAAACTTTTTATTTTTGGCCACTCCTCTTTTCTCTCTTTCAAATAAGTAGTGTGTCTGTATCTCACGCTTCGGTGTGCTACCCACAGAATTTAACTAAGGGATGCCAGAATGGTGCTGACATATTGGCCAAAAATTCTGGCTTCAGGCAAATCCTCCATTTGTCTACACTGAACTTCCAGCTCCGCTTCTTACTAGCTGTGTCGTCTTCCTGGTTGCTTCATGTCTCTGGGGGCTGGTTTCTTCGCCTGTAAGCTGGGTGCAATCACAGTTCCTTCTTTATAGAATTTAGGAGAAAGTTTAATTGAGATAGTATACATAAGGCACTAACACCTTACAACTCAGAGCTTGCCCTATTGGGAGGCAGGGGTTGGGCTCTGGTACTCCACATCCATCAGTCACTGACTCAAGGCTGTCCAGAGGCACACACTTGCAGGCACCAAGGGCGCTCTGCGTGTGCAAGCTGAGCAGCTCCAGGAGCCGGGGGATGTCTCTAGAAGAGAGTTGCAGGTGCGTATATTAGAAGAGAAAACAAGCAGATGCCGAGCGTGGGCACAAGAATATAGTATCAGAAAACCAAAGGCATCTCCACTGTGCCCTCTACAGGTGCACTTCACTGTGGCCATGTTCTTAGATAGCTCTCAGTTTTATGGAAAAATGCCTCAGTTTCCCCAAAGGTAAATTAGTGAATGAAGGCAGGGTCTCCATCTACCTCTCAGAGATGATATTAGAATATATTAAATTCTTTTATTAAAGAAAAGAATCCAAAGAAGAGGTTCCTTTCATTTCGTTGCTACTGATAATATAATTAATCTATATGGTGATTCAAACAGTGCTCAACAAATGTTAGTTATCTGTCAATATTGATGACAAGGATATTTTTGATAATGGATACTGTGCCAGGCACTATTCTAAGTTTGTGTGTTAAAACATTTAATCATCATCATCATATCCTTATCATCATATTCTCCTCCTCCTCCTCCCACTCCTCTTCCCCCCCTCCTCCTCCCACTCCTCTTCCCCCTCCTCCTCCTCCTCCCACTCCTCTTCCCCCTCCTCCTCCTCCCACTCCTCTTCCTCCCCTCCTCCTCCTCCCACCCCTCTTCCCCCTCCTCCTTCTCCTCCTCATCATCTTCACTGAAAACTCCAGTGCAGTTCTTCCCAAGCATGGCTTAGCCACCAGCAAATCTGTGTTGCAGCAGGTGGGGTTTTGCAAAGCGGCCAGTGGCAGGAAGAGAATGGGAAAGTTGGAGGGAAGGAAATGCAGGCTAATGGTACATTCCATTTTTTCTCAGGGGCGTATCTTTTATTTCTCCCATCCCTGCCAGAGCTGTTTTAGCTAAATCTATACTTACAATCGCTCTTTATTCCTTCAAATAAAGTGGCACCATCCAATCCACCTCTTAATTTAAATCTTAAGTAATTAAAAGGGCTTTTTTTCTTTAAAGTAGGTGATCAAGGGTTCGGGGTCGAGGGGAAGAGAATCAAGAGGAAAGTAGTCCCTCAGGCACTTGTTCTGTGTGCCAGAACCATGCAGACACCTCCCACCCCTGTACACCATCCAACTTAATCCTCAACACAGACCAAGGGAGGAGACAGGGGACTGCAAGGCCATCCCTGCCATCCAGTCTGTGCCAACCTCTTTTATCGATCTGAATATATATTGTTTTTGAGTCCTCACAGCATCGCTGGGAGATGAATGTTATTAGCTGTAATTTTAGGGATGAGAAAGCTGAAGCTCTGGGAAAATAACTGACTTGCCCTGGCTCCAACAGTAAGTGGCCCTGCTGGGATGTGAACCCAGGTGTGTCCGAACCCAAAGCCTGCCCTGACCTCTGACAGTCGTGATGAAAATAACAGCTCAGATTTGCTGAGCATCTACTATAATTTAAGCGGTCTCTGTGGACAAGTGAGGTTAAAACCCTCACCATGTCTCATGAAGAAGGGACTGTTGCTCGTTCCAGCTGACAGGTGAGCAACCTGGGGTTTAGTGAAATTAAACAGCCATCCAAGATAGATGTTTGAAATAACCACTATTTGTTGTTCATTCACTGTTGTATTTACACTGAAGATGCAGCCTTTGAGCTACCTCAAGACTCATCACAGGGAAAGAAGAGGCAAGGCAAAGACTGAAGCCCAGGAAGACAGGTTTCATCCCGCGCATGCTTAGCCATGAAGTGGTACTCAAATCCTGTTTCTAAGTCATGCTCTTGCCTGGATAGGCAGTCTTTCCTCCTCCTGCTTGAGTTCTTGCCTCGTATTGCCATGCCTTGGCCCATGTCTTGTAGATCATCCCCTGAGTCCTGAAGTTCAGAAACATCTGAATTTCTCAATTATAAAGATCCACCCCCCATTTCTTAATTGATTCCCGTCTTTGTGATGTAACACAAAATGAATTGTAAGCAATTCAATTCAATTTGGGTCTGTATCTTGCACAAACTTCCTTCATATTCTGCGTGAAACATGTATATTGGAGGCTCCAACATTAGAATGGAAAGGTGTTTTTGACCAGAGGACTTCCAAATGCCCACCCCCTGTCTTTCTTTTATATAATTCTTCAGTTCAGATCTTAAAACTCTCTCAAAAAGGCCTCCGAATACTCCATCCCCAAGTGGCTAAGCCAACTCCCTTGAATGCTGAGTCTTCATGGACTTTGCTTTCCTGCACTAGAAGCAGTCCAGGGAGAGTTAAGATTCGGCCTCTGGCCGGTGAGTTTGAATCCCACTTTCAACCTTCACCAGCTAAATGACCTTGGACAATCACTTGGGCTCTTAAAGATCCAGTTTTCTCAGCAGCACAGGGGGAATAGTAATAAAAATGCCTATTTCAAAAAGTTGTTGCAAGAATTAAGAAAGATACTATGTGCAAAGTGCTTAGCCTGAGCTTAGCACATGTGAGGCATTCAATAAAGATCAGTGTTGATGAGTATGTCAGCACTCATTTATTCCTTACTTAGTTTTATTTACTAAGTGTTTGTGAGTATCTGACCTTGACTATAGCAAGCATCTAACAACTACTGGGCATCTTTAAACAGCCCTTGGTGTGACTACGAGAGTCACGTGGTAGAAGGGCATGTGTAGGGTCTAAGCTGGACTCCCATTCTCTCTCTGCCACGGACTGTGACACTGGGACTTTTCATTATTTCTAAGCCTCAGTTTCCTTTTATGTAAAATAAATGACTATCACCCATCCTGTGACATTACTGAAAGAAGTGAATAGTGCCTTTAAGGATCTGAGCACAGGCTGAAATATTAAGAGAAACTGCATCAATGGAGCCTCATTTCACACCAGCCGTCCTCTCCCTCTCCCTTCCAGCTCACTAGCTTTCTTTAAAACACCTGTACTTGACCCTCTTCTCACTGGCCTCAGAGCCTCGACACGGGCTCTTCTCTCTGCCTGGAATACCTTTTCTGTTTCAGCTCACTAGCACTGAGGCCCTTCCCATCTTCCCTCAAGGCCTACCTTGATCTTTGGTGCCAAGTCAAAGCCCCTGCTAGAGACTTTGTGTCCCATGCAGCCTCATCAGTGGCACTCCTACCAGTTCTATCAACATTCACCCATCTAGTTATTTAATCATCACTGAGGCTGGGCATGGTGGCTCCTGTCTATAATCCCAGCACTTTGGGAGGCGGAGGCAGGTGGATCACCTGAGGTCAGGAGTTCAAGACCAGCCTGGCCAACACGGTGAAACCCTGTCTCTGCTAAAAATACAAAACTTAGCCAAGTATGGTGGTGAGTGGGCACCCATAATCCCAGCTACTCAGGAGGCTGAGGCAGGAGAATCACCTGAACCCAGGAGGCGGAGGTTGCAGTGGGCTGAGATGGCGCCACTGCACTTCAACCTGGGTGACAGAGTGAGACTCTGTCTCAAAAAAAAAAAAAAAAGTCATCGATTGGCCTCCCTTGCTAGATTAGGAACTCCATGAGGCTAGGAAGTGTTACTGTTTGTGATTCCAGTCTATCCCAGAGCCTTGCAGAGGGCTTGAGGAAAAGTTCATGCACACAAAGTTTTTGGATTTATGAATGATACAATTAACTAGTATTATAGCCGTATCATTTTCACTAGTAGTGATGATGGGGCAAGGGGAATTATTTTTGGTCGGGCAGCCCCCTGTCACCAAGCAGCCTGAAAGTGCCCCAGCCCAGAAGCTAAGAGAATTATTTTTGGTATTTCAGAAAATCCAAGATAAATGGTTTCTTATTTGAGGTGAGAGTGCATAGGCTGTATTGAGAGAACAAACTCTGTTGCCTTGAACTAGAAAGTGATCCAGTACGTGGACTTGGGCGTACAGTTATTTATGTCTAATTAGTGAAAACGAGAAAACAATTTCTGGGTGTGGGGCAGAGTGCACACATTAAACTTCTTGTTTCCAGAAGATTTCCTTTTCTGTTTTCTTTCACGCTGTGTCCCTCCTTCATCTCTCTTCTGACTTCCTTGTGCTCATCTTGGTACTCAGGCAGGAGGCAATCCTGGGCTCCCTGTGTCCTCCTCCACCCTAACCCCCATCCTGGGTTAGGTGTTCCTCCTTGGCATTCCCACAAACCCCAGTAAGTCTAACTGCTTCGATCTTATCCCACTGCAGGTAAGATTGGTGTAGCTGTGGCCAAATATCTTCTCTCGAGCCTCAGTCTAAAGTGGAGGGGTCAGACTCTAAGCTTCCCAAGGGCAGGGAGCTTGTATTTTCTGTTATATTCTCAGTGCCTGTAAGAAGTGTCTGATAAATATTGGTAAAAAGAAAGGCAGGGAGGGAAGAAAGGAAGGAGGGAGGGAGGAAGGGAAAACACATTTCTCTCAGATTGCTCTCCTGTGCCTCTCTGTCCTGAGGAAGTCTTTCTGGTTTTCTGCTGATGTGTGGGTCGTTCAGAATAAGAAAGAACAGAATTAATTACTTATGTGTATGTAAAACCTTCCTCTCTTTCAAAAGTGACAGTAAGAAGGGAACAAAAATCACCAGGTGGGCCAGACCTGTGCCTCCCCCACAAGGAGCAGCCACAGAATGTCACCAATTCTCAGGAATAATCAAGCCGTGGGGCTTCCCGGAGGGAGCTGGGGAGGCGGCATTTACTGCCATGGTGCCTATTATACAACAGAAAAAGAAAGACCAGCTCACAGAGGTGGGCTGAGCCCCCATGGAGCCGGTTAAGCTGTGGGGCTGGGGGAGGAAGGGAACAGCAGCTTCCCCTCTACTGTACCCGGCAGCCACCAGACCTCCTTTCTTCCTTCCTAAGGTCCCTGCCATGACTTGCTGCTCCCCTACCCTGTCCCTGGTCACCTCCAATGCCCCTCAAGCCTCTCTCATGCTGGCAGTCTCTCCCTTGTCTCAGCCTTCGTGGCAGTGAAAATCTGAAATTTAGAGTCTTCCAAGTGTTCTAAGTGTGCCCTGTCTTGCTCAATGCATTCGAATGTTCTTACTGGGACTTTTTTTGGATGTGTGAAGTCTGTTAGCTGTGTGGCCTGGGGTAAGTTACTGAACCTCTCTGGGTCTTACTTCTCCCCCACCCCTGAATGCTCTGGCCCTGGTCTTTTTCTCCAGCTTTCATTTTCAATGCCCTCCCCGTGCTGCCTGAGCTGGGCTCCCCTGAAATCCCGATACATCTGCAGATCTACCAGAACTGCTCTCGCCTGCGGTGCTTGGAGAGGAGCAGGTGCTCTTCGTGCTGCTTGGCTGGTCTCAGCATAAATAGCCTCTCTCAGTGAGGTCTTCCCCGAGCTCCCTGTAAACCTGCAGGCCACGGTGCCCTCTGGCCCTCCATGCTACCTTGTTTTCCTTCACT